TATCCCACTAGGAGAAATGCTCAAAATTACCTTGCAGGATTTCTAGTATCAATGCCTTAATGCTGGACACTACCGGACAGGTAACTCTTCCACTCTCACCAGCAGTAGATGTTGCTGCCTCTGAAAATTAGGCACTGCTTTTGGTTTGTATCATTAGTCCAGCTGTGGTCATGTCCTAACCTGCAAAGGAGGTAGGAAAAGCAGGTTTCTGCCCTTTCCTGCTTCTGTATAGGAAGTAGCCCTGCCCCTAACACAGAGGACCTCACACAGCTCAGAGGGCAGGAAAATAGTGGCCAAGAGGCAGCGTGCACTCGCAGCTCTGCCTCTCCCCAGAACTCTCCATTGCAGTTGGCTTTGGAAAATCTGATCTGTGCTAATGCAAAATTTCTTCTGCTGTGAATTCCATATATATGTGTGTACTTTCCTTTTTATTTCTCTGTCTACCTACATGGGAAATCGATACATGTTACTCTTCCCTCATTGGCTGCTTTCCTTTGTAGTGTCTCTTGCAGTGTCATCTCATCCCCTCACTCAAAGCAGAGTAAGTTAGGATGAACATTTCCATTTTCATCAGTTAATTTTGTTAATCTCAAGTCTCTCAGTCTGCCTTTTTGCCCTCCTTTCTCTTTCAAAAAGTGTCCATTTACCTTAGGAAGATGGGGTTCTTCTTTCCCTTTTTTGCATTTGAAAAAATCACAAGATGTGCTATGCATATTGAAGAGCATATTAGATTTTTTTCAGATAGGACTCAAAGATTTCTTTTAATATTTCCATATTCACGATCTACTCATTCTTCAGATCTACTTTTTTCATATTTATTATGTCAGTGATGCTCAGTAATATTGCAGTGGTACCATGTTCTGCTTTTCAGTATATACTTTTTCAGAGCATATTACAACTACATCTTAGTTTAGCTAAGCTGGAGTGGGCCTTGCTATCTAGAAATTAATGATGAACAAATAAATCTAATTTCCAAGTAAGTATTGCTCACTTTCAAGGATTTCTTTATATACAGTGAAGTAGTTAAGTGACTCCCACAATAGCTGCTAATTTGGTGACTTTATAGTACATTTTCTGTTATACTTACCAGGTATTTTGCTGTCATTATTCACCGGCATCTTTCTATTCATATATATTAAGAAAAGCATACTTTGTGACTTATGTTTGTAATATTTTTACTGTCTGTTTATTTATATACAGTTACAGTAGTGTTTACTAGGAATCATGTTCTTATGAATCTCAGTACTATCCTTTAGTATTCAAAAATTTGTGAGGCATTTCAAAGGGGTGAAGGATTTCCCATCTCTGCTCACCATGTGAGCTGTTCTAGTGACAGATGAATTCTGGGCAGTGAATCGAGAAGGGCACAGATGCAAAGCTGTGAATTTCTAAATAGTCTGTTAAGAGGATGCTTTTGTCCAGTCAGCATTTTGTTAATTTCACCTACAAGCAAGAATAATTATTTAATTATAATTTCCATCTGACAGAAATCTAATGACAAATGTGTCAGAATCTGAAGATAAAAGGTTAGTCAGGATTTTGGCAGGAGGCCCAAAATTTAGGCACCCACGTGGAGGTGGCTGTAGATTCAAACTGACCTAATAACACTGATTACAAATTCTTTATGAATATCCATGGATCTTACTGAGGCATAAACATAATTTTATTTTTAAGTACTAAAATATAAGAATTGTGTTTTTGTATCTTTATGGAATATAATTATCTTAAAAATGTACCTTGACACTAGAAAAAGTAAAGTCATATTCCTCCTTAGTTTATTTTGTCTTATTGCCAACATAGTTTCAAAATTGTTCTGTAGGGCTGGGGATTTAGCTCAGTGGTTCTGCCGCCTTCCTCGCAAGCGGAAGGACCCAAGTTCAATCCCCGGTACAAAAAAAAAACAAACTGTTCTGTAACTTTCAGAACATAATGTGAAAAAGTATCTTCATTAGTGGTATAACTAATACATCATATTGTTTGATATCAAACCAGGTATCAGCATACTTTTTTGTAAAAGGCCTAATAGTACGTATTTTCAATTTCATGGTCTTATGGTCTCTGTCCCAGCTATGCAGCTGTAGCACAGCCACAGATAATATGTAAACAAATAAATGTGGCTGTATTCTAATCAAACTCATTTACAAAACCAGCTAACAAACTGGATTTGGCCCATGGTCCATAGTTTGCCAAACCTGGTAGAGATTGATGACATTAAAAATTTCTGCTAAAATTTTTAATAATATTCTAAAGTAGAACTTTATGAACTATGTGAAATAACTTGAATGTGCAGTACTTGGCAGGATATTGAGCTCCCATAAACCATAATACCATGAATGGCACTTGCTGAGGTAGCTCAGTTTGGTGGTCCTGGTAATAACTGTGTCATCCATTTTGCTCTCATTTCTATCAAGGGTGTCACTTACCTGGCCTCCTGCCTTTTTGTAAGGTTTTATTGGAACACAGTCACGCTCATTTGTTTACATATTGTGTATGACACCAACAACAGCAAAAAGCAGTACTCTCAACAAATAACATATGACCCACAACACCTGAAGTAGTAACTTTACAAAAAACCATTTGCTAACCCCTCGCCATACCCTTACTGTGTTTCTCTTTAAGCATGAAATTTCAGGGCACCCTGTGGGAATGCCTCTGTCTGTCATATTAGGGCCAACAAAGGATATGTCAAGAAGTTAGCCAAATATCTAACGGCTTTGGGATTCTTATTCTTCTACAGTGTTTTCCATCATGAGGATCTGGTCTAGGAAACTAATATACTTTCCTGTAGTTGGTCCTCTTGCTGGTCAGCATTGCCAAGAACAAATGAGTTACTCTGAAGAATTCGTTTTGATTGGGAGGCTTTACCTGTTTGTGGGAGAAGAAAGGTAGAGTAACTCAGTTTCCATGGCCCTGGGCTCTGGCCCAGGGCAGCTGGCACACCTTCCTCTCGGCTCTGTTGTGCTGACTTGTGAACACTCACATAGCACTAGATATTTTTTCTGGATAGTATCTCAGAGTTAGGTTTTGAAGGATTTGCTTTGATGCCAGCAGATCTTACGGGATTTATGGAAGGTAATTGAATGCTGTAGTTACTGAATAATAAAATTTCCAGGACTGTGGATAAAAATAAAGTTTGTGGAAAAGAGAGGGTATTTACTGTTTAAATCTAAAACTAAAGGCTATTTAATGATCATGTGGCAATTTCTGCATTTCTTTGATACATTTATATTTCCTCTCTGTTGGTATGGGAATATATGATTTAATTTACTATATTCCATGCATTTCCGAAAAGTTGCTATTTGAGATACTCAGAGGAAAAAATTAATTTTCTTATTTATTAGTCTCAAAAAATTAGAAACAGTATTTTTCAAAAAGTTTCATGTCGTCACAGCCTTTACCTGTGGGGTAGGGAAGTGTCTCTGTGGTAGAGGACTTGCTAGCATGCTTGAGGCCTCTGCACAACCAAAAAACAAACAAATTTTTTTTTTAAATCTTGTCAGCAGTTTCTTCCCAGATCACTTTTTCATAACTCTCCTAACACTTTTCCTCGTGGTTCTCTTCCTGTTGGGGCACCAGCTGCTCAGCTTCCCTCCCTCTTCTGTGTGCTCCTCCCTTAAATTCTGGTGCTCCCTGTATTCTCCCTAGGTCTCAAGGGCCCTATTACTTTCATTTCCATTTGCATGCTCATGGCTCCAAAGTTACATCTCGGGCCTAGATCGTTCCTTTCGGATCTCAGACTTGTGTTTCATCTCCTTGCTGAGTATTTTTATCTGTTTCTGCCATAACTAGTAAGCTTTCATATTCCTCTTGAATCTGCCCATGTTTTTCCATACTCTCATGCTTGATTGGGCAGACTGTCCAGTTGCTAAAGCTTGATGCTCATCGACTCTTCCTCACCTCCACACCCAGCCTGTCTCAAAGTTCTGAGTCCTGCCTCCTGGATATTCCTGATAATACGTCTTCTTTCCGGTCCCAGCGGTCAGCCCAGCTCTGATCACCTGGACTACTTCAACTATTGCTTAATTTGTTTCAGTTTTAGTCTTGCATCTTCCCATTCATCCTGAAACATTGCACTCTTGATTGTTTTTCTAAAACCACAATCTGATTGTGTTGCTACCCTATTTTAAATTTTTTGCGGGGTTATTATTAAAATCTGATTTACTAATGTAATTTAATCAGGTGACTTTCTAGCTTTATATCTCTTTATATCTCACTGCTTATCTCTGACTGGGTTGTCTGTGGGCCATGCTTCTATTAATTGTGTCTCTGTACACTACTCGCTCTTCCTAAAACACTCTTTCCTCCCTACGCCTAGCTGGGGCTTCAGTTCTTACCTTACATACTAGCCCTGCTCCCTGGCTTCCAACAAGTTTGAATCCGCTGATTTTGCTTTGGGCTCCTGTAGTACCTTGTGCTCTCTTTCTTAGTAATTGTCATCTGAGTTTCTTGAGGGTAGGGACATGTATCCACAGACTTTAGACCGGCACATATGCTGCCATGTCCATAATGTTCATGAATATTTTCTTTTATATAGAGTAAGAGAGGGTAATATGAATTGGTCTTCCACAAAAGTATAAAATTAAATTTTATTACATGTTTTACATGCTACATATCTATTTGAATGATTGGTCTCTTTCTCCATTTTTAGAGGAATATGTGAAGTAAAGATTTATTGACTTTTTAAAGTCAGCATATTTTAAGTTTTAATATTGATAAATTATGTTTCTGGATGATTTAATTTTATCTTCCTGTTTTAATAATTTTAGTGAGTCCATAATTGGAATCTCATTTTAATTTTACCCTCATGGTAATGGGTATGTTTTAAAGAAGCTATGAAAGGAAACTTGATTGATTTCCCTGACCTATACCTTCATTGATTTTCCCTTGATAGTAATTCATACTGATGGGGTTTGGTATTTATATATACTTAGTCTTTTTAAAATTATATTTTCTCACTAAAGGAGATGATGCTACATAATTGGGCATTGTGTTGTTTGCAGTCTACCCTGACATTTGCACTATCAGCCTCGTAGCAGTGAGCGATGTGAGTAGACATGCAGATAGAATTGCTTTCTGGGACGATGTCTATGGCTTCAACATGTCCTGCATGAAGAAAGCAGTTATTCCAGAAGCAGTCGTGGAAGTTTTAGATCCAAAGACTCTTATCTCAGACTCTTGTGGTATAAAGGTAAGTGTTTTGCCAATTTTTAAAAATAGAAGTATTGCCATTTTTCTTAGTTCCTGATTTGAGGTCAGTGTAGTCAACACCTCTGTCTGTGGGACCTGTGGATACCAAAACCCAGTGATGTGTGGTTCTTCTCTCAGTCAGTACTCGGTTACTGCAGTGTCAGTACTGTGAAAATAGTTAACATACTGTATTATTTAGGGAATAATAGGAAAAGCAAAGCCTGGACGTGTTCCATACAAGTGCAGCTTTTTTCAAATACAAATTTTGAATTCACAGTTCATCTAGTCTGAGGATGTAGGACTGCAGAAACAGAGGACCGACCCTATATTTATTTTATATGTGGCCCTTGTAAACAGTGCCCTTCCAGCTTTAATCAGTGTAAAATAACTCGAGGTGATTTTACCACTTGATTCTTGTTTATTTGGATTCTCATCTTTGTTTTTAAACTCGTTTTACTCAGTTTTATAACCCATCAAATCTAGCTCTGAACTGGTTGAATCCTTTCCTTTACTTGGGCTAAATTGAAACAAAAAGCCCTGCTCTCTTGTCACCTCCGCTTCACCAGTGCTTGGCTTTATACAGCTTCCCACAGCACATTACTCATTTATATCATATTTCACTAAGAATTTCATAGTCAAATTTCTTCTAGCTCTTTAAGATTAAATAGTTACAGTGAATTTCCCCCTGAAATTTAAGCCCTATTCTGGCATTTCTTAATTAATTCCTTTTGTGTTTCATTGTTTTCTTTTTACCATGTTAAACTGGTTTCATCTTGAATTTTTGTTCATTTTACATGGGTTCACTAATAACTTTACAGTGAAAAATTGTATTACTTTTCTTAAAAATCCATTTCAACTATATAACTAAGTGTATATAGTTTTTTCAGCATTAGATTCAGGATACTATGTCTTTTTAGTCATACTATTAATTTCATGGCATTAGTAATTGTCCTTTCCACAAAGTGGTAGATGTTTATTAAATTTATTAAATGGATAAGTATATGAAAATTAACCACTTAGCAGTTTACCCCGTACATCACTCCAGCAGTGCGTTTCCATACTCCCTGTTCTGAGCATCACTCGGGCCAGTGTCATTTCAGCCAGTCGATTCTTATATTGAATAAATTTGATGAAATTGTTGTTTCTATGTTTCCTAATATCTTATAAAAATTAACAAAATATATGTAAGTTTTAGTCATCCTGTATTTAAATAATTGGACTAGTAAGTGGTTAGTATAGAACATTAAGTAAGAAATTTCTCAAGAAGAGCAAGCTGGGGCCGGGGATTTGGCTCAGTGGTTCTGCTGCCTGCGTACAAGGACCTGAGTTCCATCCCCGGTACCAGGAAAAAAAAAGAAGAGCAAGCTGATTGAAAGTATATTCAGTATTTATTTATTTGGTACTGGGGATCAAACTCAGGACTTTGCACTTGCAAGGCAAGCATAGTGCCTCTGAGCTAAATCCCCGGCCTGAAAGTACATTCAGTTTTTAAGAAACAAAACAAAAACACAGCCAGTTTGGTGAATGCAGGACTGTTGCGTCCTCTGCCCCACTGATGGAAGGACATTTATTTGGGCCCTTTGGCTCAGGATGATTATACAGTTGTAATCAACTCGGCCTTGAGGTGGAGCAGAAAGAAGAGTTGGGGAAGCTAGTGCTAATTTCTCTCTCTAGCAATCTCTTTGCTTAATTTCAAAACTATTATGAATAAATGGAATAGAAAATTTATGACTGAAAAACAAAGGTATTTAATAAGTATACATGCCTTTTAAAATATCAGTTAAGTAAGTATCATTTGTTCTATGTTCCCCAGGCTTCCTACAAATAAAAGGTAACCACACTGTAACTTTAAATTTTTCTCAAACTGTTTTCCACAGAATAATGCCTCGGGTATGTGCTCTGTGACTTGCATTCATGGGGGTGCAGTGTACTCGGGGCACTCTGCCGATGCAGCTCTTAGAGCACCCTCTGGTCAGGCCGCGGTAGCTGAAAGGGATTTCTTCCCTATCCAAAGTGAAGAATTTGAACCAGGGAAGAATCTGAAAATAAAGATATTTGGTGATTTTTTTTTTTTTTAATATTTTTTTGTGTGTGTGTGGTACTGGGGATTGAACTCAGGGCCTTTGCACTGAGCTACATTCCTACCCCTAGTTTTTGTTGTTGTTGTTTTGTTTTGTTTTGTTTTTCCAGTACCGTGGATCGAACTCCGGACCTGGTGCTTGCGAGGCAGGCACGGTGCCACTGAGCTAAATCCCTGGCCCCCTACCCCTAGTTTTGCTGTTTATTTGAATTGTGGTTTGTTTTTTTTTCCTAAGATCTAACAGACATATCTTTAAATGTATCAGAAATGAATTATAAAACATTTTTTCCTCTCATTGGTATGTGTTTCACCTTGCCATTTCCTCTGAAATTGTTTACTGTTAGTTTATAACAGAGCTAGCATGTGTACACAGGTGGCATGCAAAATGATTTTAGGTAATACACAGAAAACATTTCTATTTGAAAGTATTTAGTATGTCTTAGGAAAACTAGCAGATCAGAGCCATGACTTAATATACATTATTGCTTACAAGAAGTCTTAAGTAAAAGATACTAATGTAAGTTGAAGAAAAATTAAATGGTAAAGCTCCAATACTCCTTAAATTTTGAAATAATCCCCAAAATGGTATGTAAATGATGAAATTCTACAAAACACTGGTTTATAGTAATCCTTCTGTGCCTAAAGAAAGAGTATTATTTTTCTGTTTAAAAAAATATTTTGCTAAGTTTTCCTTTCTCTCCTTTTTAATGGATAGCATATAGATTGCCATACAACATCTATCTCAGATTTGGAGTTTTCTTCAGATTTTTCCCTGAAAATCACAAAGACATCCATGTGCACGGTAAGCTATTCATCTTTCCCTTCACACGTTTCACTAGCAGTGCTGGTGATTGACAAGCTAATGAATTAATTACCAGGCTTGTGATAAATGAAAACAGCTATTGCCTTTGACAGTCTATTTTTGCCTTTACTGGCCATTGAACAGATCTATTTTAAGAGGTGAGTAGACTTTTTAAAAGTTACTTCAGTTGAGACTGTATTAAAAAACCATAGTTAACATTATTTTTCTTCACGTATTTTTCATTATTTCCTATCTTACAGTTAATCAACAGCATTCTAGTTTCTCTTCAAAGACAAAAGTTCATATCCTACTCCTTTCAATAATTCTTAACACTTAATTTGCATATATTTGGTAGAATATCTTATATTCATGGATGAAAAATGATTACTAATCTATCTTTCTTTAAGGAATGAGTCTGATGTGATAGAAAAGGTATGAGCTTTTTAGACAGGTTAGATCTAGGTTCACATTTGGTTCTGCCATTTACTTGTTTCTTTGTTCAAGTTACCTGAGTTCTATAACTGAGTCCTATAACCTGAGTTCTGGCTATTCAACTACTTTAAGAAAAATGGCAACAGGGCTGGGGATTTAGCTCAGTGTTTTCGCCGCCTGGTGCACAAGCACAAGGACCCGAGTTTGATCCCAGGTACCAAAAAGAAAAAAGAAAAATGGCAGTAATTCTATTTGATGATTAATTACAGAGGTTAATGAGTTATGTGAAGGTACCTACAATGAAGCCAAAAATGCTGTATTTTGATAACCTCTTTATTTCCTCCATTACGTAGTTTGTAAATGTTTAGTAATTTTAAGATAATCTTTCCCACCAGACCCAGAATGTTAATAAAATGTGGGCTTAACAAGAAGGAATATACATAGGTAGTAATGATATGAATATTGGTGTAGTTTTTTGATTACGGGTTTGGTTTTTTGTGGGGGGGTGCCGGAGATCAAACTCAGGTCCCTGTGCTTGCACAGCAGGCAGCGAAACCACTGAGCTAAATCCCCGGCCCCTAATTAATTTGGATTTTTTTTTTTTTTTTGGTACCGGATATTGAACTCAGGTCCTTGTGCTTGCACAGCAAGCAGCAAAACCACTGAGCTAAATCCCCAGCCCAGTTACGGGTTTTTTAATTCTAATCCATCCTTAATAGTAAGAATTTGAATTGAAAATTATATTGTTAGGAACTATACATAAAAAATGATTAATCATGTTAGTGTTGATTCTCTGACCTGATGATTTTAAATATTTTGTTCACATTTACATGTAAGATTTTATGGTTTCTTTAAAATTGTTTCAGTTAATTTTGATCCATTAATTACTGTATGTCCATATGACATTAACACATAAGGTGCTTTGATAATTTGAGTGATTTTCTTCTAATTGAAGTTGGTTTTATAATTTTTTAAAAAATTAAATAGAGTTGGCAGCCGGTGATTTAGCTCAGTGGCTCTGCTGCCTGCCTCACAAGCACAAGGTCCTGAGTTCAATCCCTGGTACCGAAAAAAAAAAATTAAAAAGAGTCCAGATTTGTGACTTTGGGGTATCATGATATTCATTTAGCTAATTAATGAAAAGCAAAATTTTTATTTTCACTGTTCATTTCATCTTTAAGTCCTAAACTTTCTCCATGTTTTGGTATTGTTACCTTGAAAGTTAAAAAAAATCTTCATGAAAATTGATCAAGCTCTAAGGGAATTCTTAGAAATTATTTGTCTTCTCACCAGTATTATTAAATAATATTTTAAATCTTTTCAGTGACCTCTTCACATGAAGTAGCACTGGTATAACACTCTAGTGAAGATAACCTTTTTTAGTTTTACATTTTTTTTAACTTCAGTTAGGAAAGTATCGACTTTCATTGAAATGCTGTGTCATTTTTGATTTGTTGGTCAGAGTTCTTCGTTTCAGGCATCAGAATCTAGGTCAGCTTATTTAAATTGAGAGGGATTTATTCAAGGGAATAAGATAATTGTCAGACACATTGAGAGGCCTAAAGGAACAGACTTAGGTCGTGAACTTCTAGAAACAACTCTTTGAACCCTTCCTGCCGCAGAGCTGCCTCTTCTGTGGGAAGCATGGCGGCTCTGTCACCAGGCGCCCAGGTGGCTCTGATGCCCTCCCTGGCCCACTCCTAAGTGTCACCATCACTGCCATCCCGAGATTTACAGGCCCCTGCTGTGGCATCCTGTTCCCTGCCCTCTGCTCCCCAAGTCATCGTACTGACGCCTCCTGCAACTTGGCACATCTGCTTGGCTGAGTATAGGTCATATGACACCCTAGATCTTGGTAAATTTTGGAAAGTGGTTTTAGCTAGGCTAGTTTTATGCTATAGAAAGTTTCCTATCACGTGTAGCATCATTCTGTACTTTCTGTTATTTGGGATATAGTGCAAGAAGATTAGTGTTAAAAGAAACTATCCTTCTTAGATAAATCTTAGTTTTATTCTGAAGTCTATTTAATTCAAAGGTTGTAACCAAAATATTGGTATTGAAAATAGTGTATAAATAGGGATTTTAATTTGTCCTTGTACATTTGAAGAGTTCCATAATAAAAATTAATTAGAAATAAACTGTTATATTACCTTTCATTTATAAAGTGCCTTTATATTTGCATTTTTATTTTCAGCTTGGCTGAATAGTTTTTATTGGAGGTTGTGGAGTTTGAGCCATATTAGAGTAGGTAGGAATGGAGTTGTACTCGTGTCTGGTCACTGCAGATACTAACAGTTCTATAACTCACCTCAAGAGGAGTGTACTTAACAAATTCTGTAACTAAGTGCATGCAGAGTTCTAAGGACAGATTTTAGTATGTAGTGTTGAATGTTAACTCTTCTGTGTTGGTTCTGTCAAATGATTGATAAAATTATGTTCTGGTGATGATCCGTAGTAGTCATTGGACACTGGAATGTTGGGTGAGGTGCTAATCACCTTAAAAGCATTCTTTTAGTTCTCATAACCATTTGTTTTATTTATTTATTTATTTATTTTTTGGTACCGGAGATCGAACTCAGGTCCTTGCGCTTGTGAGGCAGGTGGCAGAACCACTGAGCTAAATCCCTGGCCCATCTCATAACCATTTAAAATGAGTACTAATATTCCCATTTTACTGGTAAAGGATAAAATCACTATACTGTTTTACTTGTAAAATGAAATATCTTCTCTTTATCTAAAAAAAACCCAAAAAACCTCCTTTGTGGGATTATGCAAATTTAAAAGAACCTAGAGGGCCGGGGATTTAGCTCAGTGGTGCCACCGCCTGCCTCACAAGCGTAAGGTCCCGAGTTCAATCCCCAGTACCAAAAAAAAAGGAACCTAGAGAAACCTTAAAAATAAGATATTCTAGATGTGGAAAAAACTAGGCTGCAAGTTGCATTTGAAACAAGTCTGAAACATGTTACATCTGAATCTAAAACTTGCTACACAGATACTGAGAACATTGTAGTATGAATAAAAAGATAAAAATATAGAAATAAATACAGGATACATTTGATGGTTTTCAGCCATTGGGCAGGGGTTGTTTGGAGGAGCGGGAAAGAGGCTGTGCATGACCAAGACGCCCTTCCTCAGAGGCTGGACTGGCAGATTTATTGAAAGAGCTAAGCCACACCTCACCTTCTACGCAGCATACATAAAGATCTTTGAATTTTTTTCTTCCATCTCTCAGTAAGCTTAGAGTTGTTTGAGATCTACATTTCTTCTAAACCTGCTTTTCTTCCCAGCACACTTACTCTTGACATGACGTGAGTCAAGCTTGCAGGCTTTGGGCTTTCATGCTTTGTGAGTCTCAACTAACCATCCATGTCTGCTGCACCCTACAGTGCTCTTCAGGGTGGTTCCAACGTCTTACACTTTCACCAGCCTGCTGGAGCTCTTCTACACACACAAGGTCTTCAAGGCCTCTTCTGAATGCTAGATAGGCCAGGCACCCTGCTCACAGGGAACTGATCCACACACAGCACAGCTACCAGAAGGGATGAGTGCCTGATTGAAGTGTTTCCCTCTTACATAGTCAGAAAAATTAGTTAAGATGCTGAAAAATGAAAAGCAAAACTGGTAAAGGGATGGAGAAGTAACTTGGGAAAATAAGAAATTTGTCTTTTCTTATAGCAGTAAAAATTCGGATAATTATTTCTTCACTCAAAGTACAAACCTTCAGATATACTAGATGCTGTTTTTCAGGGAAACCATTTGTTTTGTTTTGTTTTGTTTTTTTGTACCAGGGATCGAACTCAGGTCCTTGCGCTTATGCAGCAGGTGACGAAACCACTGAGCTAAATCCCCAGCCCAAGATTCTGTTTTTCTTCTTGTGCCAAAAACTTGAAGGCATAGATACACATTAAAATAGGCAACTTTTAAGTAGGCAAGCCCATTTTAAATATGTGCATAATCATTTATTTCTTAATGAGATTTTCAGTTTGTTACCTAATTAAAAAATCACCCCTTTGGATTTAATTTCAGTAGCATGTGTGCTGTAGACTAATAATGTTTCTAGATTACTTCTCAAGTTGTTAGAACCTTCCATGGAAAAACAACTTTTTAAAAAATTCTCCCCCACCACTTACACCACAGGAGAAATTTGATAGCATTGTCTTGTGAGTTCTAGTTTATTTTTTATGTCATCTGTGTGTGTTCTCTTACTTTATGTGCCAGCAACATTTATATTGGCATTTGTCTTTGAGGTCCTCACAGGTTTAGAAAAGCATCTTCTATCATAATCTTACTTGTGTCAAATTAATAATGCTTTGATAAAACATGAATTGTTTATTTTGAAAATAAAAGTACTTAAGATGATTTTATCAGATAACATGCTCACAGAAATATATATTAGACACAAAGGTTTTTGATATTTTACAATCATTTTTGTCTTAATTTTAGCATTTTTTTATTGTTTTTCTATTACAAAAATGACTTCAAGCAATTTACAGTTTATATAAACTTCCTTAATATATTTTTATACATTATTTGACAAGACTGTTATTTTTTCCAGGAATTTTTTTCTT